ACAATCACCTCAATCTCAAAAGGTTTAGCGAGTGTGGCTAAGGATTGGGTTCGCTCTTATTGCCTCGAAACGATAAGGTGACAAGTCTTCTAGGAGCTATGTCATCTTGGAAGGGAGTAAGTTGCCCGTAGGATTGCACTTCAATGCTTCAAAAATGGATGTGAACAAGATGATAGAATGTGACATCATCACCTCATCGAGGAGATAGATGAGTCATCCTACTCAAGTACATTTGCCTCAAAGAAAAGATGCTTGCTTGGAATTTTGCTTAGCTAGAACTCTATGCGACCTGTCACATAGGTATCAGCGAACATGGCTTTCATTTAATATGGGGCCTTAGATAACTACCTCGTCTCTAGAGGTTGAACCGGCTATGCTTAGCACCATTTTTCCAAAATTGTTATGAAAGAGTCGCACCTTCTTGTGTAGGGATGCCCCATATTGCTCCTTCCCAAATGATAAATGGGAAGGTATAGGAAACATGATCTCCTTTCAAGTTTTTTGAACTCGTACATATATATATATTTTTTCTTTCTATATTTTTAAATTAATTATACTTAAAAAATAATTAATCTAGATGAGGTATATTTTAATGCTCCCACCCCCGTCTATCAAAATCTCCGATAGGTGGGGATGGAGACTATCCACCCTCACACCACCCTTCTCGATCCATTGTCATCCCTATTTCTTTGATGCTATCTAGGATGTTCATTGATACTAAATTTATCAAAAATTTATGAATTAGTGAGAGAAAAATGTGAAGAACAGTTGAGCACAAAACTTGATAGCTATCTCCATAGAAGCTTCCTAAGTTGTATAATTGGTCTCCATCATCATCCTTATTTATTGCTTATCGTTTTGTTTTATCTTAGCTTACTTAATGCTTCTACATCACTTACAACTCCAACAAAAAGTTAAATCGAGTGAATTATTCTATCACTCAAAACGTACAAGTAGATAAAGTAGTCACTCAACCAATCTTATCATAGTATTTATTTAATGATTGAAGATGTTGCGGTATATATTTTTCCCTTTGTGATGATGAAATTTCTCTAGTAAAATGGCTATCAATGTCCTCGTACCCGAACATCTCATTGCCCTTATAATCGCTGTTGTCCCAAACCTTTGATTCATTTTATTATTTTCTTGAACTTGACAACTTAACAAAAGTAAATAAGGGAATTAGAGGTAAAGAATGAAATGGGGTCACAACTTTCAATTAATAACGAAGGAAGAAAAGGCTCGGTCCCTATTTTGATTCTCTTTAAAACAAATTTTTTTTATTCTCATACTCATTTTTAACCACATATTTATATAATAAGAGCTTGTTTTGGAGAAATTAAAATCGGATTAAAATTGAAAATATAGTTGTTATTGTTGACTTTTATTAGACGGGTGAGACCCAATAACGACTATATTTTCAATTTTAATTGAATTAAAATTACTC